TGTAAGAAATGGAGTACCATACGAAGATCCGGTGGCAGAAGCAACAGGAGAATCAAATGGGAAACATTACCTTCAGTGGACACGAGAGCGAAGTTTGCAAACAACATCGCACCACGGTTTGAACAGATCCCAGTGATGACAGCTGATGTTGAAACCGAGTGGCAGCCGTTTAAGAGCGGCATACTCGAGGCTGCCGCCGAATGGAATGCTGCGGATATAAATGGGTTGGCCTGCCGCCTGGAGGTCAGAAATGATCTTCATGGTGGACACGAAGGGCTTAGCTCTCTATCACAAAGAAGGCTGCATTCAAGAGATGATTTGGGAGCAAAGAGCCAGACTCATATTCGATATGAAGAAGCGCGCAATGGCGGCAATGACAACAGTGACGAGCGCCAAAGCTGATTCCTGGGAGAAGTTCGGTGAGGTATGGAGTCGAATTTCCACATGGCAAACAAGATATTCTGGTAAACCACTCGCCGGCTCTGAGGCGAAAAGAAGGATAGTGAAAGAATCTTGAAGAACAGACTGGAAACGCTCTTATCGAGGATAACTACATTTTTCAGCGATGGAGAGTACTTAGAGGAACTCTTTAATCCCGAGCAGCGACAGGAAAACTCGCTTGTAGAGCAGCACAAAACGAAGATTGATGTCTCTGTGGATGAAATCAGACAAGATGCGAAAAGTTTGAGAGGCGAAAAGGCTGCTGGAATCGATGAAATCCGCTCTGTAACGCTGAAGGCAATAGGCGAACAAGGCATATGCTGCGTTATTATGCGTACTTGTCAAATTGCAGTGGTTCGAGCGGATACGTCATCGGACGAGAACGGAAGTTGTAGTACCTCTCTTCAAGAATGGACCATAAGAAATGTTATAATTATCGGGACATTGCATTATTGAGCCTCCCGGGTGAAGTATACGCAAAGATGTTGAAAAGGTACTGCAACCTAATCTTCATCATCATCCTCATTTTCCCTGACTGCTTTTCTTTTTCGGTCGGAGGCACGCGCGTGACACAGTATTTCGAAGTCCCCAATCTTGAATGCCAGAGTTTGAGCTACGTTAAAAGACAGCCGGAGTCTAGAACAGACTCCTTCCAGATTTTGCATCAGGTTAAGTTTAGTCGTCCCCCTAGGCCTTTTACCGGGTGGGCAAGTAGTATTTATTTCGTTTTCCCTTCTGGAGGCAGTGACGATACATGTCCAAACCTTCTGTGATTTCTCAGTCTGAAGAAGCAGCAGCTATGCATCAGGCCATGTCGAGACGCGACCAGCGATTCGTCTCAGAAAGCCCATGTGAGCCATTTGTACCCGGGATCGAACTTGTTGAATCATTGTCCACGACTCATGACTACAGGTAAGCATGGGGATGCGGAATAACTGACTCCATAATACAATGGCGCCGGCCAGTGCACATTTGACTCGATATTCGCCAAACGTCAGATTGTTGAGAAATTATGGGAGTTCACTCATCCGGTGCATATATGCTTTATGGACCTAGGAAAAGCCTATGACCGCATCCAGCGCAACAATACATCGGCATACCTGCGAATACATGGGATCGATGGCCAGCTGTTACGGGCCATCCAATCACTGTATTCTGATAGCAAGTGCTGCATAAGAGCAAATGGCGTTAAGTCGAGCCTTTCAGCGTTGGCATTGGTCTCCGCCAAGGCTGCGTCCTGTCCCCTATCCTGTTTGTGTTATACATGGATAGAGTAGTCAGGAGCAGCCAAGGTGATGAATGTATCGGTATAAGAGATTCGAGAAGTCGAGAAAGTTGCTGTTTGCAGACGACTTTGTTTTATTGGCATCTTCTGAAACTGATCTCCAGTGCTCCTTATAAAGGTTCACAGCCGAGTTCGACGTGACCGGCATGCGTGTGAACGCGTCTAA